AGGCTGCTGTGAGCTAGGCTAACTCCATGGCACGCTAGCTCAGGCAACAGAGGAGACTGTCTCAAAGAAAAAAAATTATCTTCCTTACCAGATAGATTATGAATGCAAAAGGACAAATCTGCATGTCCAGTCACCTTTTCAAATGATCAAACAGCAGAAGATATCTAGTCATAAGAACAGAATGTTAATTTCTAACAAGGTGTGTTAAGCTTGGTATTATTAAGTGTTGGTAAGGAAGTGGTGGTGAAGTACTGAAGAGCTATTTAACTGCTATTGGTTCCACACAGATTTCAGCCCAGAGATCCTATCCCATATTAGGATTTAATTGTTCTTTAGGGAAAATGCTGAAAATATTCAAAACATTATAGGTTATTTTTAGGAACAAAATTCTAAAATGGGCACATACACTGGTAAATTTCAGATAGGTGTCAAGTTCTTGGCTAATACGTTTTACTCTTTTTTGCGGTAAGCTTCCTTTTCATTTATAAAACTTACCATGTGCCCCAGGGAATGGGAAACATTTGGACCAACTTTGCTTCAATAAATAGGTCATCACCTAGGGCTTGAAAATCTTTGTTTCTATAAAGATTTAACTATAATAAAATTGGCCTATAATCACTTCAAGTAATCTAAGGGTAAAGTTCCTCCTTAAAAAGAAATCTTTTTCTGGCTGGGCACAGTGGCTCACGCCTGTAATCCTAGCACTCTGGGAGGCCGAGGTGGGAGGCTCGCTCAAAGTCAGGAGTCCAAAACCAGCCTGAGCAAGAGCAAGACCCCTGTCTCTACTAAAAATAGAAAGAAATTAGTTGGCCAGCTAAAAATATATAGAAAAAATTAGCTAGGCATGGTGGCGCATGCCTGTAGTCCCAGCTATTCTGGAGGCTGAGGCAGGAGGATAGCGTGAGCCCAGGAGTCTGAAGTTGCTGTGAGCTACACTAATGCCACAAGACTCTAGCCCGGGTGAGACAGTGAGACTTTGTCTCAAAAAAAAAAAAAAAAAAAAACCAAGGAAAGGCTGGGCGTGGTTGCTCACGCCTGTAATCCTAGCACTCTGGGAGGCTGAGGCGGGCGGATTGCTTGAGGTCAGGAGTTCAAGGCCAGCCTGAGCAAGAGCGAGACCCTGTCTCTGCTAAAAATAAAAAGAATAATTGGCCACTAATATATGTAGAAAAAATTAGCCGGGCATGGTGGCGCATGCCTGTAGTCCAGCTACTCGGGGCTGAGGCAGGAGAATTGCTTGAGCCCAGGAGTTTGAGGTTGCTGTGAGCTAGACTGATGCCATGGCACTCACTCTAGCTTGGGCCACAAAGCAAGACTCTGTGTGTGTGTGGGGGGAACCAGGAAAAACAAAGAAATCTTTTTCTTTGTTCATTAAGTATATTAAAGTTTCTTTGGTATATCTGGCTAATAAAATTAGCTGTTAATAATGTTGAAAGTAAGTCTACTCAGGAACAAACATTCTAACAGGCAGTGTCTTTTGGGTTTGGAACTTAGCGTTTTCTCACTAAACTGGGCTATATGACTTTGGAAAAGCCATTAACTTCTCTGGATCTTAGTTTCCCCAGTCCCTTTAATAAAACATCTTACTGAGTACCTTCTCTACACCAGGGAATAGGAGTGTATGTGAAGATGAAAAAATTATTGCTCTGAAGGAGCTCAATCTAGCAGGGAAATTTAAATACGTTAAGAATGAGATAGGCAAAAAAAAATTATATAAAAAGTATAGATTAACAGAAAGAATGCTAAAACCCTATTCCCTATGTTTAACCATGGGGAATACTAAAAACAAAAACAGCCTACCCAAAGGCAAAGAGGCATAAGTCTATATAGTTGGGAACTAAGAAAAAGAGTAAGGCTGAGGAAATTGAGGGCCTTGCACACTAGGATAAGAGATTAGGCCTGAAGTGATTAGGCAATGGGGGCACTACTTATATTCTCAGCAGGAGAGTGGCACAGTCTACTGAAAATTATAAAGCTTACTTAGTGGCAGTGTGCAGAATGGACAAGAGCTTCTTAAGATATGTCTGTAAGTAAGGCTAAGGTAGCCTAAATCTAGTAGAAGATGAAAATCACCTAGGTATCATTTTAAAAATACAGATTTCTGGAGGGGTTTTTGGTTTTGTTTTGTTTTTTTGAGACAGAGTCTCACTCTGTTGCCCGGCTAAGTGGCCTGGCATCAGCCTAGCTCACAGAACCTCAAACTCCTGGGCTCAAGAGATCTTCCTGCCTCAGCCTCCCAGGTAAGCTGGACTACAGGAATGCACCACCATGTTATTTTATAATTTATTGTCCAGCTAATTTCTATTTTTTTTTTAGTAGAGACAGGGTCTCACCCTTGCTCAGGCTGGTCTTGAACTCTTGAGCTCAACTGCCTGCCTCGGGTCTCCCAGAGTGCTAGGATTATAGGCGTGAGCCACCATACCCGGCCTATATTTCTGTGTTTTTTTTTCCAGACAGAGTCTCACTCTGTTGCCTGGGCTAGAGTGCCATGGCATCAGCCTAGCTCACAGCAACCTCAAGCTCCTGGGCTCAAGCGATCCTCCTGCCTCAGCCTCCCGAGTAGCTGGGACTATAGGCATATGTGCCACCATGCCTGGCTAATTTCTATGTATTTTTAGTTGGCCAATTAATTTCTTTCTATTTATAGTAGAGACGGGGTCTCACTCTTGCTCAGGCTGGTTTTGAACTCCTGACCTTTCTTTCCACCTCGGCCTCCCAAAGTGCTAGGATTACAGGTGTGAGCCACCTCGCCCGGCCCCAGCCTGTGTTTTTAAAACATAGGGGCTGGGCGTGGTAACTCACGCCAGTAATCCTAGCACTCTGGGAGGCCAAGGCAGGAGGATTGCTCCAGGTTAGGAATTCAAACCAGCCTGAGCAACAGCGAGACCCCATCTCTACCAAAAAAATAGAAAGAAATTAATTGGCCAACTAAAAATACATAGAAAAAATTAGCTGGACATGGTGGCACATGCCTATAGTCCCAGCTACTCGGGAGGCTGAGAGGCAGGAGGATTGCTTGAGCCCAGGAGTTTGAGGTTGCTGTGAGCCAGGCTGATGCCACGGCACAGGCAACAGAGTGAGACTCTGTCTCAAAAAATAAAAATAAAATAAAATATAATATAGGAAATTTGTTGTCCAGTACCCCACCTTACAGATACTAGACAATAATCTTTAAGAGTAAGATTTGGGGCACTATTAAAAATTATATACTGTAAAGATCCAGAAGATTCTACTATAGCCTGATCAAAATGAAATTTGAGAAATACTGGCTTTGGCCAATTGATTCCTTTGTGTTATGACACTCAATTCTATAATACAATGTGATGACCTAACATTTATTGGCCATAATCTTTACATAGTTACAAGATAGTGTTTTACCATTTGTTCCCAAGGCTGGGGGGAAAAATCAATATGGTAACAATATAAATTACAAAATTCTAATTTTCTGAATTAAATTTCAACTAAGTCAGTTTTCATAGAACTACCGCTAACATTTTATGAGGCATTTTCAGAATGTTAATCCTATATGCCAGAAATATGGTAATCATGTATTGGCTCATTTTATCCTTAATCTTCCTATAGTGGGTTTTTTTTTTTTTTATTGGTATACCATTCACCATAAGTAATGAGGCAAGAGATGGAAATTTACCTAAGCAAAATGTTTAATAAGTGCTGACAGGGATTCCAGTTCTAGAAAGTCTATTCTATCACTCTGGACATCTTAACCTATATCGATAGTAATTAATACTGAAGATACAATGATATAAAATGCTGGCAAAAACATATATACAGTGTTTTTATGTTTGGTAATCTACTTATTTGTAAAAATCATATTGCTTTGTATCATCCAGAGGGTTTTTTTCAATGAAAAGTCAGTTTCTTATTACAATCTTTAAACTACCCCAAATTATAAAGAGCTCACTTATGTGAACCATATAAGTGATTACTTATATTCTATTAACAGCATTTTCTTAAATGACTTTCAGAATGTAAACATCTGCATTTTCAAGGAAAATAAATTTTAGTAGCCTCAAATACCAACTTTGAATCTTTATTCTAATGGGAAAGACCAGACGCTTGGCAAACCCCTAAAAGAACATAATTGAAACCAATACTCACAGTCCTCTTTCCATATTCAAATCACCCCTTTTGAGACAGGAACATGGTAGGGTTGGTGGTTTAAAACCAGAAAAAAAGGATAACAGGGATTTCCATTAGCTATCTAGTAACCAAAAGACACTGGCTTCTTTGGGAAGGAGACAGCCCTGGAAAAAATGACCATATAAATAATATTCAAGTGGGCCTGGTGGCACATGCCTGTCGTCCCAGCTTCTGGGGAGGCTAAGGTAGGAGGATTCTCTCCTCCCCCTTCTCTCTCACAATCGAATAAAATAAAATGATGCAAACATAGGACACTACCAGGAAAAACAGTTCAAAGTCAATTCATATCTGGCTTTATACACCACCAAATTCACTGAAATCCCCCTTTTAGGCCACAAGTGGTGGCTCACCACTGTAATCCTAGCACTCTGGGAGGCCCAGGCGGAAAGATGGCTTAAGTTAGGAGACCAGCTGAGCAGGAAGGAGATCTCAGTCTCTACTAAAAATAGAAAGAACTTAGCCGGGTGTGGTGGTGCATGCCTGTAGTCCCAGTTACTTAGGAGGTTGAGGTGGGAGGATCACTCGAACCCAGGAGTTTGAGGCTGCTGTGAGCTAGGCTCAGACCACAGTCTTCTGGTCTGGGCAACAAAGCAACTGTCTCAAAAAGAAAAGAAAAGAAATTCCCCTCTTTTTGTAGCATAGTCCTAAACTTAGCAGGTTTTACCAAATATTATATGCAACAACATGCCCAAACCTGGGCAATTTTTAGTCATCCCATAAAGATGTTTAAAATACCCCAAATGAAGACTTCCCTCCATGCTAGATGGAAAGCTATCTGTATATTTAAAAACTTGAACAGAATGGCTGTCAATTTTTGGTTTTGAGTAACAGATACTTACTGTGCGAAAATCCTTTTCAAACTTGTAAGCACCACCTCCTGTAGCACATAGCACCGTTTGTAATGTTGAGAAGTTTTTATCTCTTCCCATTTGGATAAAAGTAGGTAGGTCCTGGGTTGGAAATCTGATAAAGTGCAAGTTCCCTCTTCGGCCAAAAAGTGTTAAATCCTTAAGTTCAAGGTGTACATCCCGAATGCCAGTGGATCCATATGCTACGTTAGAAGTCAAATATTTCCGAATACTTTTTAAGCTCTCAACTTCTTCTTGTTCTTCCTCTGCTGTGATATCAATAGGCTCAAAATATGAGAGCTTTACTAGAGTTCCCCCAATGTCCATGCCAAACCATGGGAATGCTGTGAATTAAAAACATATATTTATTGATTTTAGAAATGCAAATTAAGAACTAGCCATAAATTTCATTTACCCTAAACAATGCATTCAGTCAATAATACTTACTGGGCAACACATCTTCTTTGTGCAACTCACCTTTTCCCCTTAAAAGTTTTATTTGTGTATTTTCTAAAAATGTGTAAGATAGGATGCTTAGAGACGGCCCAGGTCCTTTTAATTCCTAGTCTATATATATAGAAAAAAAATTAGCTGAGCATGGTGACACTTGTGCCCGATACCCAGCTACGTTTGGGAGCTGAGGCAGGAGGATTGCTTGAGCCAGAGTTTGAGTTGCTGTGAGAACTACGGCTTACGCCCGGCACTCACTGCTCCCTGGCACAAAGGAAGCTAGTCATACAAAAAAAAAAAAAAAAAACCAAAAAAAAAAAATTTAGCCGGCGAATGGTGTCAATACCTGTAGTCCCAGACTACTAGGGAAGAGGCTTGAGGCAGTGGGACTTGCTTGAGCCAGGAGTAACATGAGGAGGTTGCTGGGAGCAGGCTGATGCCACGGGCATTCATACAGCCCAGGCAACCCAGATGAGACTCTGTCTGCAAAAAAGAGTAAAACGTATTAGCCAAGACTTGACACCTATCTGAATTTACCAGTGTATGTGCCCATTTTAGAATTTTGTTCCTAAAAATAACCTATAATGTTTTGAATATTTTCAGCCATTTTCCTCTAAAGAACAATTTTAAATCCTAATATGGGAGTAGGATCTCTGGGCTGAAATCTGTGATGGCAAGCCAAGAGCAGATTAAATTAGCATTTCGTACTTCACCCACTTCTTACCAACACTTAATAATACCGAAGCTTAACACACCTTGTTAGAAATTAACATTCTGTTCTTATGACTAGATATCTTCCTGCTGTTTGATCATTGAAAAGGTGACTGGACAGTGTCAGATTTGTCCCTTTGTTGCATTCATAATCTATCTGGTAAGGAAGGCATAATTTTTTGTTCTTTGAGACAGTCTCCTCTGTTGCCTGAGCTAGCGTCATGGAGTTAGCCTAGCCTCCACAGCAGGCCTCCAAACTCCTGAGCTCAAGTGAGTCCTCCTGCCTTGAGTGCCTCACCACCATCGCTTAGCTAATTTTTTCTTGTTCTCTACTTGTTTAGTGTGCTTGGCTACTTTTTTTCTACTTTTAGTAGAGACGGGTCGGGGGGAGGGGTTGCTTTTTGGCTCTTGCGTCAGGCTGGTCTTGAATTCTGACCTTAGCAATCATCCTGACGGCTGCAGCCTCGCTCAGAGTGGCTAAGATTTATAGGGCATTGTTGGCCAACCGGAAGATAATTCGTGATAGCACTCTGTCCTGTGTGGTATTTGGCATAGTTTATTCCATGTCGGGAACTATTCGTCAGATTCTCAAGACCACGTTGCAGACAGGGAATAAGCCTATTAAGAATTTTTTGAACGGCCATTAATGTTAGCAGGATCATGAAGAGGATTGTAAGAATTCTCAGCAGTCTGGTACTGGTATATCTGCCATCACTCAAAGTGCTTATTTAGTGACTTCCTATGGATGTTTCTCTTTTTAAAATTATATTTTGGCGTTTTTTCTTTTCATCTTGGCAACGAGTGTTCTCAAAAAAGGAATAAGGAACTGTGTAGGCCTTGGGTGCTGCAACTAAGTAGGTTGCCTGGAGCACTGGTGGACCTCACTTTTAATTTATCCCTTCGCCAGAAGCACTGAAAGCTGCAACTATAGGTATTGACTTGATCTTCTCTAGGAACAGTGGTATTTTGTTCTTATCTCAGGAACTATTCCAGGTGGCCTGTGGTGCTTGTCCTTTATTTTTTTATTTTATTTATCTTTTTTAAGAGATGCGATGTTACCCGGCAGGCTGGCTTGCGCAACTCCTGAGCTCAAGCAATCCCGTCCACCCTTACGCCTTCCCGAGTAGCTGGGACTACACAGGTGCTCAGCCTTTGATAATACAAGTTTAAAAAAAAAGAGATAAATGAGAAATTTAGTCATACTCCGTTAATAGTTTTTGTATAGATTTCTTATTTAACTGTTTGGATGGTTTTAGGCAAGTAGCGATGCCCAAAAAGACTTTTAAGAAGCCTGTGGCGAAGGTTTTTATTGTTTCTTCCATCATTTTAACTGACAATTATACCGTTTATATGCATGAAGCAGTGATTTTTTCCTTTTCTCTGTGCAATCTTTTTTATCTTTTTTTTTTTTTTCACATGAAGAACAATCAGCGCAAGGTATTCTCTTGTGATCTTAAGCATTAACAAGCCTTTTTAGCGTTTGTAGTTTTCGCTCCCCGAATAACATGTTTTATATCTTCGAATGTAATATTTTTGGACACCACTGCGTTGTTGACACCTAGACCTGAGAGAAAACTTGCAGGTTAGTGTTTTTTCTAATTATGTTTTTGGAATTCTGGAAGATAAAAGGTTTTAGTTACATAAATCTCGCCTTTACAAATTTCTCCCCTATTCCAGGAACTTACTTACAGTGGCAGTAGGGGGATTTCCACCTTCCCTAGGAAATGTAAGAATTAAGCATAGGACAATTCATTTTGGTTGTATAATATCAGAAGATTCCTTTTTTTATCTATTGTACCCCTGAAAAGTGGGTCTAATAACCGCTGTCTTTTCAAGCACGACTGGGACCTCCTCTGAGGCATCTCTTTGGCTTTGCGCAGATCAGTAAATCTGTTCCTGTTGTTTCTTTGAGTGTGTTTTGTGTAAGCAAACAGCTTGGCGTAAATTTCCTCCTGTAACCACTATTCCACGTAGTCATTGCTGCCTTGCTTCCTATGAAGTGGGATTTGGGGGAGGAGGCGTTCCATGGGCCCAATCGGAGGTATCTGTAGACTTTTTGCCTGAATTTCTGTAAAGTGGAAATTCAATAGAATTCATGAATAAATGGAGACAGCAAAAAACTTACTGATACCCACAATCTTTTTACATAGGCGTGATATTATGTACCTGTATCGTGTAAGTGGCCTACCCATTCATTAGCGAAGAGTTTCTTACTTAAGATGGCTCCTCTGTTGCCAAGCCCCCAACAACATTGAGGCAATATGTAGTCAGTTCCTTCTGCCGTCTCGTTGATTCTTAGTTATTTACGAGGATTGCGGCATATTTGGGTTTGAAAATATAAAAACAACAATTTCTCTAAATGAAGATAATTAGATTATTCCTTGCCTCATATTTAAGAATCGATATATGTTGTAGTAAGTGTGTAACATTCTAAAATGGAAGAAATGTCTAGAATCCCTTTCTTCATTGAATACGTATGTCCTGGTTTTCTGACGATATAACCATGGAATCCATGTGAATATGAATTCTTAATAAATCAAGGCAGTAGATCTTTAGCAATTA